GCCACATGCTGCCCGCCAAGGATATTTATCCAGGCCGCCGGGTGTTTTTGCCCCGTTGTGTTTTTTACTTCAAAATAAGATATGTGCAGGGTGCATAGGAATTTGTTCATAGTTCTCTTTTAAACTATAGTCCGGCCCTCCAATGGGTCTGAGGTACAGTGAACTGGCCCCCTGTTTAAAAAGTTTGCGGACCCCTGTCTTAAGGTGTCAGATGAGGAAAGTATCATGAAAGATGGGTGATCAACTACCATGTTGATAGGTTAAGTAATAAGATGAAAGAGAGCCGTTAGAATAAGTCATGTGGAGGTTACTAATGACCTTGACTGGAGTCAAGTAAAGTGATGGGAATGAAATTTTGGTTGGAGTGAATTTAAGATAAAAATTGGGAAGAGAATTGACTGCATGTGACCAACTTTTGGGGGTGAGCTTTCAAAAATAGGTACAAACAGTTGGAGTGGAAACTGACAGGTGAGGTTAGGTTAAGAGGCAATTTTTTTGTCTTCTGTTAGATTCTTACAGAAGTGGTGCACTTTAGTAGGTAAGGGAAGAAATGTAATGGAGGGATAGGCTTTAAATAGGGGCACAGATAATTCATCTACAGGAGGGCTTTTCAACTTTGGAACTATTGACATTTTAGACTGGATAATTCTTAATTGTGGTGCAGGCTTGTGCTGTGCGCTGTCCGGTGTTTGGCATCATCCTTGGCCTCTGTCTACTAGATGTCAGTAGCCTTCTCTTTTCAGGCAATCAAAAAACCTCTCTTGTGTGTTGTTATGTCAATTCTCACTTAAAGCAATCCTACACGACAGAATTGAAGTGCCCCATAGAGTTTTCAAGGTGGTAATCTTTACAAAGAGCAAATAACCAGAGAAGCTGGGTTATATGAAGAAGGTAGCAGTATCAGGATAGGAGGAAGGCTTCTTAACCTGATATATGTACATGACACAACCTTTCTTGCTGAGTGAGGAGGACTTAAAGCACTTGCTGATGAAGATTACGGATTACAGCCTTCCATATGGATTACAACTCAATGTAAGGAAGACCAAAATTCTCACAACTGAACCATTAGGTAACATCATGATAAAGGGAGAAAAGATTGAAATTGTCAAGGATTTCATATTGCTTGGATCCACAACCAGTGCCTTTGGAAACAACATTCAAGAGATCAAACAACGAATTTCATTAGGTAAATCTGCTGCACAAGACCTCTATAAAGTGTTGAAAACCAAGGATGTTACTTTGAGGACTAAGGTGTGCTTGACTCAAGCTATGGTATGTTCAAGTCACCTCATATACATGAGAAAATTGGTAAATGAATAAGGAAGACTTAAGAAAAATTTAACTATTTGAATTGTGTTGGCGAAGAAAATTGTAGGTTATCACAGACTGCCAAAAGAACAAACAAATCTGTTTTGGAAGAAGTACAGCCAGAATGCTCCTTGGTGGCAAAGGTGGTGAGATTTTGCGTCATGTATTCTGGACATGCTGTCAGGAGAGACAAGTCCCTGGAGAAGAATATTATGCTAGAGTGGAGGGACAGTGAATTAGAAGGCCCTTGATAAGATGACTGCCACAGTGGGCTCAAATTTAAGAATGATTGTGAGGATGACACA